TTTTTTTTTTTTAAATCGTGGATGTTCGGGTTAGTTTGCACGTACCTCGACTAATCCCACGAAATCCTGAAATTTATGGCCTGGAATTCACCTCAATGGCTCTGAGGGAACTTGAACTGGTGACTATTAGGGAGCAAACCTAAAAAAATATATATTTTAAACGAGCAAAAATTAAAAACTTTCATTGCAATTAAAATACGGCTTATCAAAAACCGTTTATAATACACGATGCATATATCCAAAGAATCCTTAACAACATCGAGTATTTCTTAAGCAACGTTAATTAATGCGTGTTGGATAAATTTGTCTATTAGTTGAAAAGAATTATTGAAAATTTGAACTATTTTTGTAACAGAAAAACAAGTGCTAAAGTTACTCACGAATGAAACTCTTTTGTTTAATGCGGGAAGGACAAATTTAGACTAGAATAAAATTGCATGGCAACGGATTAAATGGGATACGATTATATTGTATTTTACGTATAACTTTGTTCTTATCTTGATCGTGCCAATTAGATCAACTCAAATCTTTACTTGGCCAATACAATCGTCGTTTCGAGCAAACTAAATTGATACAAACTTTCCTTGAATAGTCATTGTCTTTTTGTACGTGTGTGCTAGTAACATTTTTGGATGAAAAGTTGAAAACGATAAAATGAGCAATTTCTCCAATCTCAATTGAAATAGCTAGTACATATTGTATGCTGTATTAAATTGTTCTTTAAAATGCAATAAACAAGATTTTAAAGTCAATTCACTCGACCTAAGCAGCAAGAGTAATAATATCGAAATTAGATGTATTTGGTCAAATTTAGAGGATGGATATATTTTAACCTAAAAACAACCTGTTAGATTGCTTAGAAAACATGTTCCTTCCACCTCGGAACATCAAGTATTAATGGAATGGGTTTTGTTATGTGTACAGCGGGATTGATGTACAGCTCCTCTCACAATAGGAGGACCTTAATTTTTTATTGGACGTGAGCAGGGACGGATGTACAAATAACAAAACACTCGTGTAGCCTCTCGGGGCATAGTTCAATGGTGCAAATGACAGGAGTGAGGTCGTCTCAGCTGAGCTGGCAGCCGCAGTGTGAAATTCGATTCCTGCCTCTTACAAGGTATGAAGTTGGACTCTTTGTGGGTACTAGTATGTCAGCTATTGTACCTTGGCCTGTTGAGACACATCCCGCGATTTATCTCTTCCACAATGCTCTAGGGACGGGACGGGACGGGAGGCCGGGTTCAACCTTTTTAACAAAACACTCTTGTAAGAAATCCTCTCAGACTTTAAGGTCAGTTCCATGGCTCGTCTCTCTCTTTCTCCATTAACATTTTGCCATTTTTATCCAACTTCTTCATGACTTTTCTCTTAATCCAGATTTTATATTGATTTCTGAAAGTTGGAACTGTTAGGCAAGAATTTATTAAAAATTCATATCTTACCTCGTCAACTACTGCGTATTCACCTATTGTCCATTGACTACACCATAGGGTGTTTTCAATAGAAGAGCCATTTACAAGGAAGTGTTCGAATCTGCACGAAATGGAGAAAAATCCTGGAGTTGTGAAAAGGGAGGATCAAATGGAATTACCTCCTGGATTTAGATTTCACCCCATAGATGAAGAACTGATCACTCATTATTTATCAAAGAAAGTTCTTGATAACAATTTCTCTGCTATAGCCATAACAGAGGTGGATATGAACAAGATCGAGCCATGGGATTTGCCACGTAAGCTGTTCAAACTCTTCTGTTTTTGTATTTTTCATTTTATGGGTTTAATTTTTTTGTATTTATTTTGTTAAAGGGAGAGCAAAAATGGGAGAAAAAGAATGGTACTTTTTCTGTGTAAGAGACAAGAAGTATCCCACTGGTCTTAGGACAAACAGGGCTACTGCTGCTGGTTATTGGAAAGCCACTGGAAAAGATAAAGAAATATTCAGAGAAAAAATTCTTGTTGGAATGAAGAAAACCTTGGTTTTCTACAAGGGGAGAGCTCCAAATGGCGAAAAATCGAATTGGATTGCTCATGAGTACAGACTAGAGGGGAAATTCTCTATCCACAACCTCCCAAAACCACCCAAGGTACGGATCATTCTCTGTTTTATTTCAAGATTTGATGTATGATCCTGATGAATTGACTTAGATTTTCTTGCAGAATGATTGGGTGATTTGCAGAGTATTTCACAAATGCTCAAGTGTGAAAAGGGATGCATTTAATGAGTTGGCTCCTTCAACTCTTCCATCTTTAATGGACTCATCGCCATTTGTATCTGAATCCAGTCACGTGCACTGCTTCTCCAAGCCAGTCGTTGCTGAAATGAATCGAGAAGATGTGGTTCCTTGTTTCAACGACGTTTTACACCCTTCCTCTGCTAATCCAATGGATACTTTTCCCGTTAATTCTACTTTTTCTTGGGGACAATTTCAATTCCACTGGCAGCTCCCTCGATTCTGAGGACTTTACTTGGAAATTATGGCCAAAACATGATTCAGAACTCCAAAAATCAGAAAGAAATGGTCAGCGTCTCACAAGAGTCTGGCACATGCACTGATATCAACACTGAAATTTCTTCTGTTGTATCTAATCATGATGGTGGAAGGCTTAAAGATCTGCAGAATTTGGGCTGCGTTTGGAGTTACTGAAATTTCTAGATAAAAATAAATAAAGTTAAAAACTTCTGTTTGCTCATAAATGATTGTGTGTGTATAGTGTACCTGAATTTTAAAGTTAATTAAAGATTGTGAAGGAGTTTATGTATTAGATAGAATGATATTACAATTTACATATGAGATCAATTTGATCGATTGCTAACTGAGATCTCCAATGTTGTTTTTATCGAATCCTATGTTGTTTGCACTTAGGTGCGGCCGGCTGTTGGACATTGAAATGAGAGCATAAATGAGTCCGATCCTCCTCCTCCTCCTGCGCTAATTATTGCGCCAATAATTTTAACGCTTTTTTAGAAATCTACATTCACTATCAATTGGATTAATCAAGGAATATATCACCCAAAACTAAGCTTGATCGTCCATATTTTTTAATTATCAAGGTTAAATACACGAGTAGTCACCAAGTGTTTATTAAAATTGTGTATCAATTGCTACGCTTCAGACCCGTTTGATAGAATTTTTACTTTTGCTTCTATTTCTTGTAGTAGAAAGTCAGTTTCCTCTAAAATCTCTTTGAACCGCGACGAACCACTTTTCAAAAATTATCTAATCATGTTCAAAATCAAATTCTTGATCTTAAAAGCATGGTCAAACGGGCCCATCATCTCGTTTGTTTCGAATGTTCAAACCATGTTATATTATATATATAATTTTAGAATGCACCTTGTCTTGGTATTAATTTATTAATTTTTCTATAATAATAGTAATGCCATGTTAACTGTCTATATTCTATTTTGTTAATTCCTTGGATATCTATAGAGTATAGAAGCATCAGCACTGTTTGAAAAACAGTAGCTATTTTAGGTTGGAACTCTCTTTCATTCAACATGCAACTAAAGTGAATTGGTCATGTAACAATGTACTCACATTTTCTTAATATCTACAAGACTCAATTTCTCTATAATTAAATAAAATTGAATCTTCCATCAAGAAAAAATCCATTTTTTTCCTTCCTAAAGTAGTTCAAAAATAACCCTCTTACATTGTCTCCGATAAATTATCTTTGTGGAATCTCCGACCTTCGTCTGTGTATATGATGATAAAGCAATTTGGAAGATAAATGGTCACAGAGACACATCATGTCTGACATAAACGATAAAATTGTCCAAAAATAATAGTATTACCAATGTTTGATTTTAACTAAAAATCAAATTTTGTGACACCAATCCCTAGAGTTATTTATCCTCTATTATTTATATTATTAGCTAAGGATGAGAACACGGCAAGGCTCGATGTCCCTCTCCGTCTCTCACTCATGGAATTTTTCGAGAGGTGGAGTAGGGATAAGGCGAGGCGTAGATTAAAATATCAATTTTACCATCCAATTTACTTATGTATTTATTTTAATTCTTAAAAATATATTTTCAATTTAAATACAAAAAAACCCAACCTTGCTTTCCCCTGCAGGTCAAAAATTCAGAATGGGAAAGTTCGAGGTTTAGCAAAGCTTATAAGCGTATATATTAGCATACTCTATTTTTGATTCTAACATTCATAATTGCCTACTTCTTAACCATGTATTCGTTAAAATCTATTGCTTATACGTACTTAAAAATTTTAGTGGAGCTAGCACTAAGTCGAGGAAATCAGTGTAATAGTAATACTGTGTACGTATTTATTCTTTAAAAAAAAAAAAACAAATAAAGGATAATTGGTGTGCAATACTACCCTAACCTTTACTTACTTTGCGAAAAATATACCTAACCTTTCATTTTGGCGCAAAACACCCCGGACCAATCAAACTTTACACAATACCTCCTTCCGTCATTTTCTGCTTGTTTTTCTGTTAAAATATCTTTTGAAGGCCAAAATGAAAAAAAAAAAAAATCACAAATGCCAAATTTTAAAGAAATTTTGTTAGTGTTCTTTCAATTGAGGGATGCATATATAATCACAATTTATTATTTTACTGTTTTTTTAAAAAAAAACAGGAACAAATAAGTCCTTACAGAATTTTTAAACAAAAACTTGATGATAATATATGTTAATTAATGAAAGATTAATTATTAAAACGCTATGAAAAAAAAGTTGAAAACGCTCATGCAAATAAAATGTGATGTCTCGATATAGTCCTTCTTTGAGCCACATTTTGAGAGAAAAAATGCAGTTTTGAATAGTGATTTTTTGAAAAAAAATGTGTGGTTAAAAATTTTTAAAAAATTCGATTTACGTGTAATATTATCTTATTAAAAAATGTGTGGTTGAGAACGAGTTTTAAAAAAAATGAAATTTTTTAAAAAGGGGGCTCAAACAAACCTTATAATATAAGAAGGGAAGATTACATATTTAAGAGTATAAGTTTAGTCTATTTCAAAAATAAGAACACAAGTTTAAAGTTACCAAAATCAGATTTTTTTAAATTTTTTTTTATGAAATAATAAATTATTAAATTAATTTATTATTAAATATTTAATTATAATATAATATAATATAATTAACCCATCCCACCTTCACCACCCTACCGCTCCGGCGACCGTTCCGATCACCGCCCTATTTCGGCGAACTTTCCGACGACCGTTTCGGCGACTACTCCGTTTGCGCGTGACTGTTCCGACGACTATTCCGGCGACCATTTCGGCGTCGATTTTTCCGACGACTGCTCCGCTATATTTTTTTGTAGGATTAACATATTTTTTTTCCGGTCACAACCCAAGTCACAAGTCACATATCACAAGTCAAGAGTCATAGCCCATATCACAAGTTCTAGCTCAGGCCACAAGTCATAAGTCAATAGTCACACCCAGGTCACAAGTCATAAATCAAGTCACATGCCAGGTCACAAGTCATAAATCAAGTCACATGCCAGATCACAGGTCACAATGCATCATGATTGTTTGTTCACAAAATTTTGAACAGTGTACAACTCCAAATGGATCCAAGCGAATTTGACCCAATTTTATTGAATCCTAACCCAGTTTATATGGCTCGCCCAATAGAAGTCCACAGAACTTGGAGGACTCGATCCATAAACAGATAGGGAAAAAATAATTTAAAAATAGCTTTTTCAGTTTCACCGACATTACAAACAGTGACTGCATGACATCCATCACTAGTTTTTCTGTCGTTTCTTTATTAAAACCCTCACAATCCCAACCTTAACCGACTGTTGCCACCGAACTTAAATTTTACAATTATTACATCAAATAATTCAAAACCATTTGCTCATATAGCATTTAAAAGGAGAAGCAAAACAGCCCAGATGACCGTTTTTCCGTAAAAAATGAAGAGGTTAAAGTGTAGTAGTTCCAAAAATCAACGGGTGCCACCCCCGGATTTCACAGAAACCACTGTTTCTAGGGGTCTAGAGTGGGAATGCGGGTTGAATCCTATGAAATTTATGGGGATTTTTGTGGTTTGTTTGATGGGGTTGTCTGTATTGTTTTCATTATCTGTAATTCTTAAGAACCCACCTTCTGATTCATTCTGGACTGTTGCTGAAGCCAGGCCCCTTGATGTTTTACCTCAAGAAGGTACCTCATTTTCCTTTTTTCTTTTGTCTAATTATATTCTTAGGGTTTTATTTTGACATCTCTAGTCTTTACATTGTTTATGAGATAATGTTTGTACAGTCGGAAAACTGACAGCGTAAATATTAACTATGGATTTCCAATTCTGGGGCTGGATGAGATACTAGATCATTTAGTTGGCTCGAAATTATTTGCTAAATTGTCTTAAGAACTGACCATCCCTGAAGTCATCTTGGGAGTGGAGATGAGTGTTAAGTAGAATTCAAAAATCAATATAGACTATTTAAATGGCTTATGATGCCATTTGGTCTTTCCACATTCGTAGACAAACTGATTTTTACAGAATTTAAGTACATGTGTTAATTACTAGACGTTCTGGCACACGAGAAACTTCATGTGAAACTTTAAGAAGTGTTCTTTCATGAGCAACAATATAGTGTTCCCAGGTTTCATTGTTTCAGGTGGAGGTCTCAAACGAGATCGTGGTTTGGTCAATGCTATGACTGAATTGGCTAGATGAAAGTCTATTTGCAAATATTCTTACATCCCATGGATTAGCTTCTTTTTATTGGAGGTTTATATGAAATTTTAGTGTAAAAATACGTTGTCACGAAGTGCTGGATAAGGGGTGGCTTTCATTGGGACTAAAGAAGTAGAAAAGGCTTTGCACAAAGTGGAACAACTATTACAAAAGATCCAGTTGTAGTGTTGCTAGATCTTCACAAACTCTGGTAGAGTATGATACATTTCATTCCTATGTGGGCATTGGAGCTATTATAAATCAACAATGAAGACATGTGACTTTGTGAAAAGTTGTCGGCAAGTGTTGTTACTCAACATACAATCTAGAATATTGTGCCCCAGCTCCAGCTCTTCACTATTGGTATAACTATTTGTCGCTTGGGGATTTTTTTCGTTTATTTCTTTAATTCGGCAGTTAGTATTTCAATCCGAAACTCAGACCATAGCTTGTTGATTGGAATTCTTATCAATAATTTTCACTTCATCAAAGCATAAAGTTGGGATCAAAATTTTCTATATTCTAAAGGACTTATCGTCAATAAGAAATGGTCAAACAGAAGTGGTGAATAGGAGCTTGGTTATTTGCTACATATGCTTAATTTGCTTAAAACATTAGTGTGCATTGTAGAGAAATTCATGAAGAGATACATGCTGTGAGTTGTACAAGGAAAATGCTGATCAACATTTTAAATTTAAGTAATTTGCTGAAGGTGATCAAGTTATGGGACATTTGAGAACATAAGGGTTTCCAAGCATCATTTATCATAAGTTCAAGTTAAGGAAGATTAGACCTTGCAAAATTTTGAAAGAAAATTATTTCTAATGTTGATGTGAATAGAGTTGGAGTAATGAATTGCCTAAGAAGCCAAAGAATTCATTGAAGAAATTCTGAACATGAAGGAGGTCCATTCTCATCAAGGAATATCCACGTTTTTTAATTAATAGTTTGACAAACCTTTTAGTGGAAGTACTTGGATCTGAAAAGAAGAGCTAAAGCAATTTTTTATCTTATGATCTAAAAGACATATTTTTAAGTTTAATTGTTGCAGTGGAGTTATCTTCACTCAAAAGGAATTGATGCAGGTGCAAGAGATAAATCTTTACCAAAGTATTTCTTTGTTCTTCTATTATTTTGTCGTCAATACTTTTCTGGAACTAATTTATCTTTAATAAAAAGATACTTATACAACTGCTTAGAGACAAAAATATGAATGTTTGATCCGTTATTCTTCAAGTAAGCTTGCACATACAAGACCAATATAGTTTTTCAATGGAAATAAATTAAGAATTTTTTAGATTATCCTTGTGATGAACAATTGGAAGAGCGTAGTAGAATCCAAAGACAATGTGCTCAATGTATTTTAAAAGTAATGCTTTTAAATTAATTGGTAAAATAGAGGTTAGAGCTTTGGATGTCAGAAAGTAATTCTACTTTAGCCCTATGAGTTACTATTTTCTTCTCTCGGGTTCTTTGTTATGTATTTCTTGACAGAGGTAATATATTATTGCCAATGCACCAGGAGTGCAGGTCTGGAACTGTTTGTAACTTCTACCAGGGGGATAAATTGTAGAATAATAGTTTTTGATAATTGAACGGAAAATCTGTACTATTGATGTTTTCTAGTTGTGCCATTCATAAATACATAAAAGAAATATATTCCACTTTGTACAATTTTACTTCTGAAAATTTTCTACTATCATGTGCTGGAAATATATAACCTGTGTCATCTGTATTTTATACTAATTGAAACTTGGGTAATTGTTAGGTGAATAAATTTCTTTTAAGGATCTGCGAGCTAGTTCCTGAAAAGTTAAGGGGCTGTTCTTTTTGTGTTTCAATTTTGCGTGTTAAGTTTTGAATTCATTATGGATTTTGTGTTTTGAGTGTTCATTTTGAGATTGTTGAAAATGTGTTCTTTTTGATATTTTGAAAACACCAAAAACGCGTTTTGAAAATTTTGATTTTATTATAACTGAAAACATCAATTTTGTCGTGTTGGGTTTTCTTTGTAAATTTTTAATTTGTTTTCAAAAACGCTCTTTCGAAAATAAGAAAGAGAACGTGTTTTCACTGTTTTGAAAAATCGAAAACAGAAAACGGCTTGAAAATGGTAAAGAGGATAGACCCTAAATCTTTGAGAGTTATTGCATTTCTAAATCATTATAAGTGTGAACATCCACACATCGAATTGCCATGATTCAGATTGGAAATAGTCAATATTGAAGAAACATGACTGCATATGGAATGCAGATATGCTGCATTCTGGACAACCATCGAAAGATTTGGACATTTCCATTTAAAATGTGTTTATCACAACAGATTTATTTGTTACTTTACTAGGATTATTCGTGTATTTCTTCTTTCAAAAGAACCAGTTGATTTTTACATTTGTACATGCTTTCCTTAAAAAGATTAGATAATTATGCCTTACCTTCGTGTTTTCTCACATTTGATGACCTTGATCAGTGTTCACCAAGTGTTAAGAAGTGTTCAATGATGTCAAAAACAAAAATTTTGATTCAATAAATCGAATAAATGAATGTTTCATGAGCATCTTTCATACCCTAATTTTCTTGTTATGTGTTCTTTCCTTTTACAGCAACAAATCAAGAAGATGATCTTTCCCAGGCTGTTGAGGTGCCGGAGGATAAACTTCTTGGTGGCCTTCTCCCTACGGGATTTGACAGAGAATCTTGTCTTAGTAGGTTTGAGTCACTCTCGTATCGCAGAGAACTACCCCAAAAGCCTTCGCCCTACCTCATATCCAGGTTACGAAGGTACGAAGCTCTTCACAAACGCTGCGGACCCTACACAGAACTGTACAATAAAACCTTAACACATCTCAAGTCTGGCCAATACACAAGCTCCTCTGATTGTAACTACATAGTTTGGATATCCTTCAGCGGTTTAGGGAACAGGATATTGACCTTAGCCTCGGCTTTCCTTTATGCTCTTCTCACGGATCGGGTCCTACTTGTTGATCGTGGAGTTGACATGCCCGACCTCTTCTGTGAACCATTTCCAGAGGTTTCCTGGTTACTTCCCCTGGATTTTCCCGTTACACACCAATTCAATAGCTTCAATCAGAAATCTGCAGAGAGTTATGGGAATATGCTGAAGAAAAATTTGTTAGGTAATTTAAGTCAGTCGGCACTACCACCATATGTTTATCTCCATTTGATTCACAACTATGATGATCATGATAAGCTTTTCTTCTGTGACCAAGATCAAACTCTTCTGCAGAACATACCTTGGTTGATAATGAAGACTGACAATTATTTTGTACCCTCTCTCTTCTTGATCCCATCTTTTGAGCAAGAATTGAGTGACCTGTTCCCGGCAAAGGCAACTGTTTTCCACTTCTTGGGCAGGTACTTATTCCATCCGACAAATTCCATCTGGGGACTTATCAGTAGATACTATCAAGCTTATTTAGCTAGAGCAGACGAAAAGCTAGGCATCCAAATACGGGTTTTCGATACAGGAACTGGCCCTTTTCAACACGTGTTAGAGCAGATTCTAACATGTACCACAAAAGAGAATTTGCTACCAGAGATTAACCGAAAGGAGCCAATTGTCACTCCATCAGGAAAGCATAAGACAAAAGCCGTGCTATTGACATCTTTAAGTTCTGGCTACTCAGAGGAAATAAGAAATATGTATTGGGAATATCCTACTGTAACAGGAGAGGTAATTTCTGTTTACCAGCCGAGTCATGAAGAGTATCAACAAACGGAGAAACAAACGCACAACAGAAAGGCTTGGGCAGAGATGTACTTGCTTAGCTTGATGGATAAATTGATAACAAGCTCTTGGTCTACTTTTGGTTATGTGGCTCAGGGTCTTGCAGGTCTGAAGCCATGGATACTTTACAAGCCTGAAAATCGAACAGCCCCTGATCCACCCTGTCGACAAGCCATGTCAATGGAACCATGCTTCCATGCTCCTCCTTTCTACGATTGCAAGAAGAGAGCAGGAGTTGATACTGGACTTCTTGTTCCGCATGTAAGGCATTGCGAGGACATGAGTTGGGGCCTGAAGCTGGTTGAACGCGATAGTGAATTGTAATCATTCATGCTTCACACCCGTCAAGATTATGATTTGAAATATATAATATATTCAGACAAGTAAACGGTTCAGTGTTCGAATATATATGTATTGTTATTTTTGCATGATTTCGTGATGAATGTATTGCTTGCTAATGAAGGATTTTAGACAATAGAGTATACATGCAAGAGTCTTAAATATTATTCTTTTAGCTCGTTCGGTGTAACTGAAAATTAGATTTTTAGTAAGTTTTGATAAAAGTGAATGAAATGTGCGATTGAAAATATGATAAAAGTTGTGAATTTCATAATGTGGGGTTAAAATTATTTGTTAGCTTTGACTTATATTTTTATTAAATTTTTAGAGGCTTAATTTTTATAATAAAATTTTAGTTTAATAAAGTGGACGAGGAAATAGTATGTTATTTACTTCATATGACTAACAAATTTGGTCGTCGTCAACTAACTTTTATGCATGTTTATCGAACATAACATCCCCGCCTATCGAACAGGTTCCAGATTTCTTCAACAACACCTATTCTCGCTGTTACAGAATCACTGCAAAACCAGTAAACAACTCTTCCAAATCCACGCACACATTGTCATCAATGGCTTTACCCAAAAAAACTATATTCTTGCTAAGCTATTATCTCTGTACACAGTCTTCAATAATCTCCCGCATACCTTCCAAGTCTTCAGCCAAGTTGAAAACCCAAGTACTTATCTTTATAACCAAATTATCAGAGGCCATTCGTGGAAAGCAATTGAATTATTTAAGCAGATGGAGAATTCTTTAACCTTACCTGATGGTCACACGTATACGTATGCTATTAATGGCTGTGCGAAAGGGATGTTGTTAAGAGAGGGTGAAGAGGTTCATGGGAAAGTTTTGAAAAATGGGTTTTGTTCGAACGTGTTTGTTTGTACTAATTTGGTTGATTTTTATATCAAAAGTGGAAGGGAGGATGGCCTAAAGAATGCGAGGTCAGTGTTTGATGAAATGCATGACAGAAATGTTGTCACATGGAATTCTTTGCTTTCGGGTTGTTTTAGGTATGGAGATGTCAATGCAGCACGAAAAGTGTTTGAGGCGATGCCAGAGAGGAATGTAGTTTCTTGGACTACAATGATTGCTGGATGTGTGCATAACAGAAGGTGTAAGCAAGCTTTGGAATTGTTTTTTGAGATGCGGAGAGATGAAATGAAGTTCGACCAGGTGACTTTGTTGGCGGTGCTGTCAGCATGTGCCGAGTTGGGTGATCTGAATCTGGGCAAGTGGATACATTTATATGTTGTTGAGTCTTTAAGTCAAAGAGAGCAGCCAGTGCTGGTGTCACTGAACAATGCACTAATACATATGTATGCTAGCTGTGGTGAAATTGAGGCAGCTTTTGGCGTGTTTAAAACAATGGAGCAGAGGACTACTGTTTCTTGGACAAGTATGATCACAGGTTTTGCTAGACAGGGGTATGGAGATGAGGCGCTTAGTGTCTTCCGGTGGATGGAAAGCATAGGAGATAATGACATAAGACCTGATGAAATAACGTTCTTGGGTCTTTTATGTGCCTGCAGCCATGCTGGTTATGTCGATGAGGGACGCCATTACTTTAAGAGTATGACTGAAACCTGGGGAATCCAGCCAAGGATAGAGCATTATGGATGCATGGTAGATCTCTTGAGTCGTGCTGGGTTATTGGATGAAGCAGAAGGGCTTGTAAAATCTATGCCAATGAAGCCAAACGATGCAGTGTGGGGTGCCCTTCTTGGTGGATGCAGCATTTACAAAAATGTTGAGCTTGCTTCTGATGTAGCTCAGATATTGACCATGGAAATTGACCCTGAGAGAGCTGCTGGCTACTATGTGCTATTGTCAAATGTGTATGCATCTGAAAAGAGATGGCAAGACGTGATTACTGTGAGGAAGAAGATGGTTGAAATGAAAACAAAGAAGCCAACAGGTCGAAGTTGGATTCAGATAAATGGAATCATTCATGAATTTATGATTGACGAAAGGTCTCAAAAGCATGCATCATTCATCTATGAGGTGCTGGGTCATATCACAACAGAAGCAAAGTTGCAGGGCTGCATGCCAGAAACTGTTGATGCTCTCCTGTGCATTGAAGATTAGGATGGCAAGAGGTAGCAGGATGTGGTCTGGTCGATAGATTGTGATTGCCATTACGCAGAGCTTCTATCTGCCAATATCTTGCCTAGTATGGCAACCAAATGTCCGAATTATGGCCTTACTCTCTATAGTCGCATCTCTGGGTCAAATTTTACGAGTTTTCAGTTTTTACTTCTCTTAATGAAGAATATATGGAAGGTGTAACTGTAGATGTTGGAATCTAATCGACAATCTTTATGCTTGTAGTTGAAATGTTCTTGGCCGCCTGGATCTACTACTTTACTGCACCAGCACTCCATACAGATAATTATATTACCCTCGGTCTCAGAAGCAATATCACGTCCTTCATTATGAGCTTTTACATATGTTTCTAAAGCTACTTGGTTACATAAGAAACACCACTTTTGGAAGGTGTCAAGGGCCACTAAGCCCCTTCATCATAGTCATTTTTCACAATTGCAAGTAGACCAAAAACTATTTGTTTATTCTATTTAGATGACAAGTGCTTACACATGGCCAAGTAACCATCTCGTAGAATACAATCATTGATCTTAGTAATCGAACTATGTTGGGATAACTTATTATGCAATAAAATTTGTCGAGGTTGAATGATTTGATTGTAACATAAATGAAAATATGCAAAATTCAAGAAATTTTTAACATCCTAACTCAAAATACCTAACCAAGCCATCAAAATAAATGATTGATGAAAAGCTTATTAACACAAAATGTCTCTACGTTTGACCTTTAGTGTGCAATACATCCCTACATTTCAAATTTTTGCATTTTTCATCCATATTTTCACGTTTCATTGGGGAAAAGTCATTTTCATTGATTTTTACCCAATTTCTCAATTAAAAATCGTAAAATATCCATATTTAAATAAAACAAAAAGAAAAGAAAGATAAAGAACAAATTGCAATCATACTTTCAATTTTTTCTAAAAGGTACAAATAAGTCCCAAACAAATTAAATTAAAAAATAAAAAATCCTTTTCTTCTTTCCTCATTTCCCTCCCATCCCCCTTCCTATTACTCACCCTCGCCAAAAAGGGAAAAAGAAGATTTTTTTTCTTTGGTTCATCACTCCTACACACGGATGCCACTCCCCCTCACGCTACCCGCACCTACCTATATATAACCCTAGACCCAAACCCATACATACAAAGCACTCCATCACCAACAAATGTCGATCTCCTCTACCCAAATAGACCTTACGATCTAGAACGCCATTGCCGACGCCTTCGTCCATATCCCCGCTGTCAATTCTCACGTGTACTACTTCCCTCAAGGCCACCACGAACACTACTCGCTGATAAAAAATTACAAATTTTTTGCTCTTTCCTGCCTAGTTCTCGTCGTATCCTTCTTTTTGGACCTTCACTCCGACCAGCCATTCGCGAAAATTCGTCTCCTTCCCATCCAGTCACGTAGGTTGCACACGGTAATGGAGAATGGTGAGAAAAGGGATATGGATGAGAGTGACGTCATTTCGTTTGCTAATATTTCGACACCTTCCTTCGCAAATGACGGCGAGGGATTCTCCGTTCCTAGATTCTGCGTCGATTTGATTTCCCCCCAGCTTGATTTCTCAGCTAATCCACCGGTTCAAACTCTTGTTATCAATGACAGTCAGAACTATGCATGGGAGCTTCGGCACATTTATCGATGCACTTCGCGTCGCCCTTTACTCACCACCGACTGGAGCCGATTTGTGAACAACAAGTGGCTCGTTGCTGGTAGGGCTATACGTGGGTCGGTTCGGTTCGGAAGAGACCCGAACAGACCAAAAACTTTAGAATATTTAATAAATGGACCCGTCGGGTCCAAATATAAATATATAATCGTTCGGGTTCGGTTCGAGTCTGTTCGGTTCCGTTCGGTTCGGTGAACCGTTCGGGTTCAGTTCGGTTCAGTTCCGTATCATAATTAAATTTTTTAATATTTTTAGCAAGACTATATAAATACAACTAATGACATTTCATTCGTAACTTTTACAAATTAACGTAGCCCAATTCAAAAACATATAAATAACTAGCCGTCCATTAAAATTAATTCAATGCATACGAATACCAAAAAGTAGATATTAGTATTACAGCAAAACTACATAAAGTATATTCATTTGCTTCAAATTAAAATGGGCTAATGGATTTTAAAAATGATTTGGGTTTTAAAATTAAAATTATGAAATAATCTAATTTATTTAACTAATTTGCGAATTTGTATAAATAAAATAAAATAATTTAATTAATTCAATATAAAAAATAAAAAAATTATTTAGTTTCGGTTCTTATTCGGTTCTTGGTCTAGACCTGAGACCCGACCCAAACCCATCGGTTCTCGATTCGGGTACCCGTTCGGGTATTTAATTTATGAAGAACCGCTCGATTCGGTTCGAGTTCGGTCCGGTTCGAGACTTTTGAACACCCCTAGTTGCTGAAGATTCAATGATTTTTATGCGGTTTGGGGGATTGCAAGCATTGTGAATTGTCGAGGGCGATTGGTAAAGGTGAGGGAGAAAAAAGAAAAGATTTTGTTTTGATTTTTTAATTTAATTTATTTGGGACTTATTTGTACTTTTTTGAAAAATTGGGAAGAAGATTGCANATGTGAAGACTGGAGAACAATTAGGGGATATCTTCACGAAAGCTCTAAATAGGGTTCGGGTTGATTATCTTTGTAACAAGTTGGGCATGATTAAAATCTATGCTCCAACTTGAGGGGGAGTGTTATATATTATAATTAGTTAATTACCTTATTCTAGGATCCTAATTTATACACTTTCCTAAGATAGAATCCTAGACTTTGTATATATATGTGTATCACCGTTTCCAATAAAAGATGAGAAAAAATATTTTTCACAATATTATTTCACAAAAATAAACAGAATTATGATAA